AGTGTAAATCTGAAATAAAATGCAAAAGCAAAAGGCTTATTCGAAATGTTGACTTTATTTGTTACGTGACATTTTTCCAATATGCTTGTCAGTTTTAGACATAGCTAATTTTGGTGCATCGTAATTGTCATCTTCGGCAGCCTACAATGATTAACAATGTTCATAGAAAATACTCTCAATAATAAATATTTTTAACCAATATGATTTTTAATTACCTTTGAGACATTTCTTGTTTTTTCTTTTTTATCTTTGGATCCTGAAGCATCGTCAAATATACAGGACACGGTGAACCAATGATGTTTCATTGTGAAATTATATGACGTTACTTTAATCTGGAAAGTTAAATGTTTTTACCTTTTCATCAATTAGCAAAAAATCAATACCCATGAGTTCATTGTTTTTCTTGAAGTTTTGTGCTTCCCAGAAGCGTAATAGTCGACCGACAATGCGTTGCATTTTACGGCCCACTCGTAGATCATCAAACGACACGTATGTTGAAAGACCATCAACACCATGTATATCCAATGCGCCTTCGTTAGTTGTCATCGAACTGTTTAATTGGAGGGACATGTGTTTATACGTAATAGAAATATGGTCGATATTTGCATGTGAATGATTGATTAAAAAATGAGAGTTTATAAAAGGAGGTACTATCATCATATTGGTTCCTAAGATTCCACAGGCAACCAAACTTGGCGACTTTAGGCCGATCAGCTGTTGTAACTTCTTTTACAAGGTAATATCTAAGGTCATTGCAAACAGATTAAAACTCATCCTCCCTTCCTTGATATCTTGGAATCAGGTGGCATTTCAAGCTGGGCGTAATATGATCGATCACATAATGCTATATTCAGAATTAATTAGGGACTATAACAAGGCTTCTTCACCACCTAGTGCTATGATCAAGATCGATATTCGTAAGGCCTTCGACTCTCTTAGTTGGGATTTCATTATCGATATCCTAGAGGTGTTGAGAATTCCGAGACGTTTCATAGCATGGGTCCGAGAATGCATCACAACTCCATCATATTCAGTGGCAGTGAATGGAGAACTGGCTGGATTCTTCCGAGGGAAGAGGGGACTGCGGCAGGGCGATCCCATCTCACCATATCTGTTCATTCTCTCGATGGAGGCATTATCTAGACTACTAGACAAAGCAATGACAAGTGGCGACATTCAGACACATCTGCGGTGCTCATCTCCTCTTATATCTCATCTTGTGTTTGCTGATGACTTGATGGTCTTTGTTGAAGGTAAAGCTGAATCGATCTTAGGGGTGAAGAATCTGTTATTCCGATTCAGTCTACACTCGGGGTTGAAGCTGAATGAGCCGAAGACTGAACTCTTCCTTGGAGGGGTGACGCAAGCCGATGCATTAAGTATCAGCTCTAGGGTTGGTTTCCGGATTGGTTCTTTGCCGGTTCGCTATTTGGGAGTGCCAATCGGTCCTTGGAAGTTGTCAAGAGAGGACTATAAGCCGCTGCTTGAAAGGATCCGGTAGAAGCTCTCATTGTGGACTTCGAAACATTTATCTAATCCGGCCCGTATCCTTCTTATCTCAACAGTTATTTATGGCATTGTTAATGCTTGGAGCAGAGATTTCTTGCTTCCAAAATTCCTGTTACGAGACATTGACAGACAATGCTCCATCTTCCTTTGGAAAAATTCGATAGAGGGAAGAAACACGGCAAGAGTGGCATGGTCTCTGGTTTGTTTGCCGCGAGAGGAAGGAGGCCAAGGCATTCGAAAGCTAGAGGACTACAACACTCTATTCAGACTTTAAAGCATCTGGGAGATCTTCAAAGAATCAGGTTCATTATGGGTTGCATGGCTCAAACAATACATCTTCAGACGGAAAGGATTTTGGAGCACGTCAGCGGTGCCAAGACATTCCTGGGGCATTCGAAAGCTTCTCGGTTTCAAGGATATTGCAGCCACCTTTCTGAAATGTAACCTGGGTAATGGGGCTTCCGCTCAATTCTGGCATGATAACTGGGCTGGTTTGGGTCCTCTGATTGTGTTTGTAGGACCAGCGGGGCCAAGAGAGCTTCGTGTGCACCTTTATGCGACTGTGAACTCGGCAGTGCGAGAATCAGAGTGGTCTTTTCCGGGAGCGCGTTCAGACAGATGTCAGGAAGCAATGTCTCGTATCTCGTTTATTCTGCCACCTACTCCGGTAGCTGGCCCCGATTCCTTTGAATGGAAGGCGTCTGCATCAGTTTTTCGGCCTAGCTACTCTTCCTCATCCACATGGGCCCTGATCCGACATGTTTCTACTAAGGTCCCTTGGTATTCCCTCTTACAGTTTGGGCTAGCCAATCCAATGATGAGCTTTTTTCAGTGGCAGGGCATGCTCTTTTGTTCAGTGGCAGGTCATGCTCAAGCGGCTACCGACTAAGGACCGTCTAACGAGATGGGGAATCGAACATAATCCTATATGTGTGCTTTGTCAGTCAGCCCTAGAAACTCATGCGCATTTGTTTTTTGAGTGTAGTTACAGCGTTGGACTATGAGGATATTTGCATCAGCATGTTATCCATCACCTCCAGCAGAAGTAGATAGATGCAAGGTTTGGCTTGATAGCCAATCGGGCCAGATATCGGCGTCGAGGAAGGTTTTAGCAAAGGTGGTAATTCAGACAGCGATATATATTATATGGTCGGAGCGCAATGCAAGGATTTTTAGGAACACATCATACCCAGTGGAACAGGCTCAAATCTCTCTTGATAGGCAGGTTCGTGACACAATTCTCTCACGACAACTATGCTCGGGTTCTACGGTCCTCAATCCTTCATCACACAATCTTATGGATGAATGGCTTTCACTCACGTCTATGATTCAATCGCATCTTAGGCACTGATCATATTTTGTAAGTTCTATGTTATTGGAATCCATTCCATGTATGGTTAGTTTCGGCTGCAAGTCGGGTTGTATACGAACCGTTTTGATTTAATACAGATTTACCGTTATAAAAAAAAAGTTACTCTGTAGGGTCAAGTTATCGTGGCATTAACTTGGGTGTAGTGGTGAGTTAATGATTTGTCCGTTACCTCAAAACATAGATAAACGAAAGTGAACAAAAAAAAACGTAAACATTTCAATAATTATTATAATTAATGTTATTTATATAATTTTATCATTGGATTTGATTGTTATAATTATTTCAGCATTGGTTCCCATTTAATATAGAATAACTACACAGTTATATACATATATATAGGTTGGTGGAAGCTATTGGGTCGTGATAATTAATTTGTTGTATAATGGTAGATTAATCACTTGTATAACTATTCATTTACCTAATAAAAAAACTGAAACAAAATTAAACAACAACAAATACAACAACGTTAGTCTATCTATCGATGGGTGGAGGATGTTGGGGCATGTATACATTAAAATCATCATTGGATTGTACTTACCATGTAGCGTCTAAATATATTTAAACAGACCATGTTTCATTATATAATGAGAAACTAAATATTTCTAATATGTTATTAGTACTCAATATATTTACAATGAAACATAACATATATTTTTATCATTGGATCGTATGTATGTAACGAAAACACACGATACTTATATGTTTTCCTTATTGAAAATTCTATTTAAAATAACCAATACAGTCCTTTGTTGGAATATATATATTGTTCATTCAGTATGTTTATTATTTTTATATTGAAGAAAAATTTATAAATTTCCTAATTCATTATGATTATTGTTGTTACATCGGGAGTAGGGTGGGCGGTCGGTCGGGTTCGGTTTAATCGGGTTCGGTTATTTCGGGTTCGGGTATTTCAGGTTTGAAATATTTATATCCAATCGGGTATATTATTTTAATCGGTTCGGATTCGGATTCGGTTCGGTTCGGATCGGGTTCGGTTCGGTTTTCCAAACAAAAAAACGATAAAAAAAATTCAAACAACTACCTTATAAAAATAACAAAAACAATATTAAAATATATGCATATTTCGTTTTTTTATATACTATGATTATAAAACAATATCATTATAAATTTTTTTCTAATTAGATTTAGAATATATTACATATTAATTGATGATATATAGATGGATAGACGGATATTTCCGGTTATGGTTAATTCGGATTCGGTTTATTCGGTTTACGGTTATTTCGGATTCGGTTATTTCGGGTTCGACTATTTCGGGTTTGAAATATTCATATCCAATCGGGTATATTATTTTAATCAGTTCGGTTCGGTTCGGATATTTATCGGTCGGGTTCGGTTTGATTATTCGGGTTCGGTTATTTTGCCCACCCCTAATCGGGAGTAAATCTAGAAATATGCATAATTAAAATATAAATATATTATCTTCCTGTGTGGAACATAATTAGGTGTATAAACGATTAATGTAGGTGATAAACATTATAACTAAAGATTTTGAATGAAAAAAAATAAAAAAAATGACACATAGATAATGACATGAAGATGAGTTGGTTTCACCACAATCCTTTAAACATCTTTATTAATATATATAGATTTTTAATTTATTCGTATGTTTTTATTGTAATTATGAAAAAATGATTATAAAATTAAATGAAAAATAATTCTGTTATTTAAATACAATTATTTTTAATAAAATTTAATATTAATGTAAATGAGATTTATTATTTTATCATTTACAATACAGTAATTATAATAAGGAGATCAATTTTGATATTGGACGGGAAATTTTTCGACTTCGGGCTTTTGGTCACATGGGCCCTTCCACTTCATTTTCTTTTACGTATTTTTCAATTCTGTATCCGTAGATTTGCAAAACAGATTTATAAATTTGGAAGGAGTTGTCTCATAGCTTGGAAAATATAGTTGCAAGGTGAAATGAAGGGAAACGAAGCACGTGTGTGTATATATATATGTATATATATATATATATGCGTGTGTGTGTTCCATAAATTAGAGTCAATAAAAAAAAAAGAAAGTAAAATTGTGTTAGAAACTCTTTCTTCTTCCCTTGAATAAACCCGGAAGGAATTGTGCTTTTATTACAGGAGATCAAGTTTTATGAACGGCTAGAACCGAACATGTTCTTTTCTTTTACATCCCCACCCTCTCCAAATCCAAACGATCGGATTGAACTTGTCCACAGTAAAACGAAAGGGCTTCTTCCATGGCATTTGACTGAGCCAACATCCGAGCCCTCTCAAGCGTCCCGAGCTTCTCGTACACTCCAGGAGCTAACCGTGGATCGTACCCTGCTGCTGCCTGCAGAATCAAACCTATGTGGTCTGCTTCTTTGGTGTTCTTTCTGATTCAAAAAAAAAAAAGAAAATCATTTTATGATTCGAGATTCACGTTATGGTTGAAAGCATCACAAGAATGTTTGACGTTTCTATGAACAGTAATACTATCGTATAAAGCTCGAAATGAAGATGATGGGTATTGAAAATACTGATTTTTCTACTGCGTGTGACTTGCTCTCTTCTCTTATAACTATAGGCCTACAAAATTCGTCTAAAAATCTAGCAAGAAAGTTTCACCCAACAATATCACCGACCAAACTTATTCTACTTGCAGTAAATCAAAAGAAATCTGCTAACAATGTTTACAAAACCGAGTTTGATAGAATCTAAAATTCTATACAGCCAAATGAGTTCTTGCCTGCGTGAATTCTTTTATCCTACAAGCAAAGAACTACACCTTTTGATGTGGAAAGTAACTCTTTCTCACAATCAAAGAGCCAACAGTTGTAGCAGAACAAGCCAAGAAGAGAAACGCTATAAGATGTCTGAAAGGAAAGGAGAAGGAGACTTACCTGCCGAGAGACATCAAGTAATGTACGAGACATAACACCATTATGTCGATCGCAAGAAGAAAAGGCATGGTAATGAACATTGAGAGAACCATTAGGGGGGTCCAAAACCAAAACCAGGTGGAAGTTTCCTCTGCTGTGTGTCGTGCGACGAAACTACCGATCTATATCCAGAGAATACAACAATAAAATATCATAGAACAATCAAAGTATGTGCCTTCACTAACGACATTTCAAAATCTTCAAATACCAATTATACCTCATGTCCGATCGCAGTGGCAATCTCTGCATCTGTTTTGAGATGTTCGACCAAATCAGTGTATACCACTATCTTCCCAGAAGACGAGCAATATGCTTTGCCTTTCCCCTTAACCACAAGAGCTTCCCAATTCAACCCTTCGAGGTGAGCAATCGTGGGTCGTGATCCATTCTCTTTGCCCTTCTTACTGCTTTGCTGAATCCATGTGTCATCCACAAGCTCTTCTTCTTCAGACAACTTCATTCCACCCATTGTCCCTTTGCCACAGTTCCCGCTCAGTCCCATTGCCGTATCCTTAACTGCTCCGTCATTTTTCGTAGAGGTACCATCCATGGACGCATACCGCACACTCTCCAGGCTCAAACTTCTCTGCAACCCTTCGATGATATCCTTCACGATCGATTTAACCCTAATGCTCTCAGGGTGATCCGCAGGGAGTATTTTCCCCTTGGACCAGAATTTTATCAGCTGAAACTCACATTCACCAATCCATTTCCCGATCGACTTCGGCCAAAGAACGAAATGCCTCCGTTTCGTGTAAGGAACAGTCTCTAGATCCTTACAATACACGGTGACCAAAACCCCTGAACCCACAAGCACCGCCGCCAAAACGGCCGCGGGGTTTTGGGACCACCGTCTCGGTTCCGATGGCTTGAAACGATGAACCTGGTACCGGTCAACGCAGTCAAACTTCTTGGGAACACTCAGAAACCGGTTACATGCATTGACGTTCGTATTCCCGAGAGAGTTACACAAGCTTAAACCTAATCTGCGCGAAGATATCTTGAACCCAGAAAACTTAGCTGATAGATTCGAAGACCCTTTCCGATGAATTCTCGAGAAAGCGTTGAAAGACGGAGATTCCGGCGAAATCCTCGGAGGATTTATAATGTTTCTCCTGGAGTTGATGAGGAAGGGCTTGATTCTTCGGTAACAAGACATGTCGCCGATGAGCGAAATGTTGAAGAAGCGAACGTATCACAAATGAAATTTCTAGAGAGAGAGAGGGAGAGGAAGAAAGATCAAAGAACAAGAAGAAGGAGCAAGTGAGCAATGCATACATTTCGCATACACAGAGAGGACAGCTGGAGCAACACACAATATGCGAGGATAAACTAACCTGCAACGATTTGATTGCAGAGAGAAAAATTACATCTTTGCCCTTTTCTTCACCACCTTCGACAGCCATGACACTCCCTTTACTCTTTTTTCGTGTTTTTTTTTTCAGCTCCACTAAATTCGACTCCAGATTTCCATCTTCTATCTTTGATTTTTTATTCATTCCAAATAAGATGCAAAGGAGGTCGAAAATGAGCCCCTCTTAATGACAAAAGTCTCTCTTCTAGGATTCATTATATATATATATATATATATATATATATATTTGTTTTTTTATAAGATTCGGTCCAATGGAATTTGAACCTGGGTTGGGAGCACTTTGTCCGTTGATAACCTACCACACTTGGTATGTATATATATTTGATAAGTCCGTTGATAACCTATTCCAAAAAAAAAATCTTAAAACTTGGAATAAGTTTTAAATAAATTTTAGAATCTTAATAAACGTTAAAAGTAGAAATAAAAATGAATCTCAACTAAATGTTAAAACCTTGCTTTGAACGCAAGAAAGTCGGTTTTAAACCTTATGAACGATTTTATACGAACACTACTAGAAAACATGAAAAAAAGAAGGAATTATGTATCTAAAATCTTTCATAAACTTTTCTGATAGGAGCATAAAATACGATCGTGTCACGTGAATTGTCTAAAGTAGGTTGTGTTATAGGATCTAACCTAGAAAACTAATGGTCATGTTCCAAAAAACGACTATAGTAGAAGTGGTTCATGTCGATGAGCACACATGTAGATGAACGACGCATGATTTGCCATATACAACTGAAAGAAAACATACAACGCCAAAGATCAGTGACTTGACGATTTAGGAGGATCCAAATGGAGAGTCAATTTTTTTTTTTTTGTATCTTGGTTTAATGTGTCCTCCCTCTTCCGTAAGCCTTTATTTTTCATACTCCAAAATCTAATTGTGTTTAAAGGATTCTGGTGAAACCTCTTATCGATGGCAAATTCATAAATTTTGATTGGACTATAAATATTTTAATTAACTATCAAAATCACCTCATCATTTCATGTATCACTTTTTAAAATTTTGATTGGACTACAAAACATTTTAATTAACTATCAATATATAAATAAATAAAAAATGGATGCGAGTAAATGGATGAATTTATTATAGGTAGTGGAGTATAAAATTTTAAATATTTATTATATAAAAAAATAACGGATGTTTTTTGGGACTAGGATGCTAGAGAGTTCTATTCATCAATACCACATTTGTTTGCGTTTTTGTTTCTCTCACGGAAATTTGTCTCTCGGGATTTATCGAGTAAAATTAAAAAATTACTAACATAATTTCAATTTATTATATATAACTGATAAAATTTAGTGAATAAATAAAACAAAACGGCCAGAACTTGGAATGTTTATAAGGAGATTGTCAATTGGATTCATAGCTAGACCAAAAATGTTAGTATTTTAGAGTAAACGGTTGATTGGTTTGAATCTCTCAAAAGGATTCATGTTTTACGTGTATTACAAGTATGGTGGAGGAGTTAAATGTTTGTAAAAGACGTGCCATGAGTTGACTAAGTGTTAAGGATTTGTCGGAAAAGTTTACGTTCAGTTTTGAACGTGAAAAGTGATCTCAGAAAAAATGAAAGGGCAGCTCGAAAACATGGGCGGGCAGCCTATTTTTTCTGAAGAATATAACCCAGAAATAAACGGGCGGTAGCTCGAAAATACGGGCGGGCAACCCATTTTTTCTGAGCAGTTTGAATGAGCGAAAAATTGCGATCGTTCGGGAAAAACTTCCGATTTCTTTGCACCTTTCGACTTTTGGAGTGTTTATAAATACCACTGGACATCCTAACATGAGATAGAATAGATATATAATATCTAATTCATTGTTTGAGAGTTTTGAGTGTTCTTGCGGATAGTTTTTCTGCAGAAAAACTATCGCAAGGGTCTTTTTGTTTTCGGTTAAACAATGTTTTGTTTGATGATTGTCGGAAGGGTAAACCGAAATCATTGCCGCTTCATTGTATCTCAAAAGTGTATTTCTGTAATCCCATTTACCTGGTAGGGATGGAATAACGCTTTTAGGAAAGTGTATCACGCCTTGAAGTCATATTCGGTTCCCTACTATTTCATACGTGTTTTGATAGGTTGAAGACATGATTATTAGATCAGATTGAAGTCGTCATCTTACCGGGTATATATGAGTATTTATTATCTATTTTAAATAAAGATATAAATTATTTGTATGCAATTCTTAACAACATTTGACGAAATTTTTTGCTACCATTTAGAGAGGATAATTTTATGTTAAGGAAACCAATATATCCAACAAGGATAATTTTGGTGAAATACAGATCTTAGAAAGGATGGAGGAAACCGAATTGACGACGACAAGTCTCGATCTTCTCCTACTATACAAATCACAACTTGATGGTGCCACATCGGATTTAGAAATCGGGGATGATCCCCATCACGATATAAAAGGTGATTGGTATCGTGGATAGATATTCACCTCTCGCATTATCTCCTCCTCGGTACGAATGTAAAGTATGGATAAGCTTGTACATTTTTCTTTTACCTAATAAATATTATGTATATTACATCAACATCAACCTCCTTAGTCTCAAATTTATTTAGATTCGGTTACATGTATTAATATTTCCAAAGCATATAACTTGAGTAAAAAGTAACGAAACAAAATAAATCTACAGGTCGCTTTCCGGCAGCCAGCTGCGACTGCAAATCCGTCGTGAAGAGATTGTCAGAGCTAGAGCCTATGAATTTCTCAGCCCTCGGACAAAGGGGTATTTGAAAGGAATCCATGTTTTGCAGGAACAGAAGCCCACATACATTTCCAGGTAATTTCTCAGCGGTTTCATCTACTTCCATGGCCGACGAATAGTCCTGTGACATCAATCCGTCGAACCTCCGACTTTGTAATGGTCTTGATCCCTGCCCAGACCATGGATCCGTGTAATTCACTGGTCGGGGTCATCGAGTGCATTTGCCCGGTTGAACGAATATGCGATGAAAATGTTAGAAAAATGTTATTAATTTCCTAAAACCAATTTGTGGTGAATGAGAAATTAATTTTAAAATGTGGTTATACAAAATAAATGTAAAAATGTGGAGGAAGAACATTTGTCCCACATTGGAAAAAATGACAAAGCATAAGGAAGGAAGCTTCCTTATACGTGTGTTTGTCCCACATCTAAAGTTTTGGTCATGAGGAAGAAATGAACTTCCTTATAAAAAGAGCTCCCATTGAGTCAACAATGTTCAAGCTCAAGGTTGACTAAAGCTAAAAATGTTTGATCCCACTTCTTCCTCTTTGGGGGAAAACGAGCAAAGTTCCCCGAGCCGAATGTTTAAAATTTGAGTTGAAAGTTCCATGCGGGACTATTCGATTCAAAGAATAACGTTTCGATGTGGGATTTAAAATTTAAAGTTGTGCGTCGATGTGGGACGATTGGGTTCTGAACCAATGCTAGAACCACTGGTTGAAAGGGTGGAGCCTCTTCCTTCACATGTTTTCGTAGCAACCCCCGAATATTATAAATAGGGTGTCCATAGGATCATTTTCTGCATCCCATTTTTTTCTGATTCTCTTCTTCCTTTTAGAAAAAATAATCCAAAATCTTTTTCTCTAGAGTTCCGAACTTTCGTAGTTCGTTGGATTCTATAAAGCAGGTGGTGCTTTTGTAGAATCGTAAGTCGTATCTTGGAGACGATTTCCATAAACCGTAACCATTTGATAACGGGACAATTTCATCTTGAGGAGATTGTGTATAACATAAGCCTCGACTTAACCCACTTCAAAATTTTCTTTTTCTGGAAATTCTATCTGAATTCCTGAATCCCACATCGTCGGAATCTACAGAAAATGATTCAGTTGAGAAGGTACATTTATATGCAATTCTTTAGACTTTGGTTTTTTTTAATGGTTTGTGTGTTTATGCTATAAAAAGCTTAACAACATTTGACGAATTCACCGATCGGAGCCATCGAGTGCATAAGCCCGGGGAGGATTAACATCGATCTGAATCGCGGGTCGTACAATGGATTTCCATGAGATTGTATATGGAGCTTTGGTCTGAATATACTCGAGTAAAAAATAATGAAACAAAATTCTAATTTTCAAGAGCTACTAATTATGATCTTATATAGTTTTTATATCATTTATGTTGATTAGATTCATATATTTAATCCATAATCTTAATCAGAGGGACCATGTATTATGTATGTATATGATTGTATGTATATGTACCACAAAGAAAGATAAATTATATATGTATATATGTTTGTGTGTATGCATGTATGCACTCATGCGTATATGTAGAGATTGTTTTATTATTATTTTTTTTTATTTTTGATATATAGATTAATGAAATATATATTATATATTTTCTCTTTAGTGATTTAGATAAATCGCTAAATAATTACTAAAATATTATTGTAAGAAACGATAAACTACGTAGAACTTCTCTACATTTCCTAAATTATTAGAAAGTCTAAAATTTCCAAATATGGGAGAAAAATAACAGATACAGTATCAATTTCAAACCTTTTTATGAAAATAACAGATACAATATGGGATGAACGACGCTCATGATTGTTTGATAAGTATCCCTATATATCAGACCAATACAATGTACTACAAAAGTCATAATCATAAAAAATATAAAAGTCTCTTATCTTTATATTCTCATCCACAATGTAAATATAATTCTAATCTTTTTCCTTATTCGATGTGACTTTTGTTTGTTTAATAAGAAAAAATAATCTTGCATAAGCATTTTTCATATTTTTTTATAGCAAGTAAAGTTAATGATAAAAGAACGGAGAATATAAAAAAATTAATGTCATTTTCATTAAGTAGAGCAATTTTGT